GGAATAATTTTTTAATTTTTTTAAATTTTTTTATTTGAAAGTCAGAGTTACACAGAGAGAGAGGAGAGGCGGGGGTGGGGGTGGGGTCTTCCGTCCGCTGGTTCACTCCCCAATTGGCCGCAATGGCCGGAGCTGCGCCAATCCGAAGCCAGGAGCCAGGAGCTTCTTCCAGGTCTCCCACACCAGCGCAGGGGCCCAAGGACTTGGGCCATCTTCTACTACTTTCCTAGGCCATAGCAGAGAGCTGGATTGGAAGAGGAGCAGCCAGGACTTGAACTGGTGCCCATATGGGATGCCAGCACTGCAGGTGGTGGCTTTACCTGCTACGCCACAGTGCCAGCCCCTAATCTTTCTTCTTGATAAATTTTTATTTATTTTATAGTAGAGGCAGAGAGAGAAAGAGTGAGCAAGCAAGAGCCCATTCCCTGGTTCACTCCTCCCATGTCCACAGCAGCACTCTGGCTGGGATCGACGTCAGCATCAGTGGAGGCCTCCCATGTGGGTGGTGGAATACAATCACTGCTGCCTCCCAGAACCCATATCAGCAGGAAGGTGGACTCAGGAGCTGGAAACAGGAATAGAATCCAGGCACTCAGAGGCAGTGGGCATCTCCACTGCTAGGCCAAATGCCCACCTCCCAAGGGTTAACAGAGAAGGGACAGTGTCTATAAAGAAAACTATACGAGTATTAAGAAGAAAAACTACATAGGATCTGAATACAGAAAGATATCCTAGTATCCCAATGGAAAGTCTTATTAAGTGATCAGTTTTCTCAGAATATAGAAATACTACATGATTTTAATCAGAATCCCAACTTTTAAAAAACTAAAATATTTAGACCATAATTTTTAAAAAGCCTTAAGTAAGTAAATGTTTCAAATAGACACAAAAGCCAAGTCACTGAGTGAAGATGTAGTGAAGACAGAAGATTGGTAGCCACATATTGAAGAAAACTCCTTCCTATGAACACAGTAAAAAATAGTGGGGCCCACCCAAAGGAAACACAGGCAAAAATTAAAGTAATCTTTAAAATTCATATGTTTAGGGGCCGGTGCTGTGGTGTAGCAGGGAAAGCCACTGCCTGCACTGCAGGCATCCCACATGGGTGCCGGTTCCAGTCCCAGCTGCTCCACTTCCGATCCAGCTCTCTGATATGGCCTGGGAAAGCAGTGGAAGATGGCCCAAGTCCTTGGGCCCCTGCACCCACGTGGGAGACCTGGAAGAAGCTCCTGGCTCCTGACTTCAGATGGGCACAGCTCCAGTGTTGCAGCCATCTGGGGAGTGAACCAGCAGGTGGAAGATCTCCCTTTCTCTCTGCCTCTCTGTAACTCTCCCTTTTAAATAACATAAAATAAAAATAAATCTTAAAAAAAAAGATAAGTATGTTTAAAAAAAAAAAAAAACTGAAGAATGAGAAAGGGTGTGCCTCACAAGCCAGAAAACATCTCGAAAGCCACCACCATCAAAACCAGTGCTTCCCGGGGCCTCGGCAGGCTGAGGGAGCCTGCACAGCCATGCTGAGAGGGCTTTTGAAGGAGAGCATAAAATACGCAGGATTGAAGAAAACCATTTACCAAGAAACGCACTCGCCTGCCATGTTTCAGAGCTCCTACAACAGAGCCAAAGCAGACGCAGTACTTACAGGGACTTTACGTAGGGTAACAGTGGCCTTGCAGCTCCGCGGGACAGGTAGGTTTGTCCAGTGCCCGACGCTGGCACAACCGGCTGGCTGCGTGAGCCATGAGACCGCTCCCTACTATACACCATAAACAAATGTAAATTCCAGCTTATACAAGATTTGTAAAAACCTAAAAAGCTCAGAAGAGGCTTAGGAGACTGTTCAAGTATATAAAATCTTAAGTGTTGGAGAATTCAGAAGCCATTAAAAAAAAGTTTAAGGAACATAGGATTAAAAAAAAACCTCAGAAGAATGTTTCTAACATATACAGATGGATTAGTATCTGCACCACACAAAGTGCTCTTGTAACTGATAATAAAACCGCAAAAAAACTGAGCAAACTGGCAAAGGATATGAATAATCATTTCTAAAAAGAGCAGCTCTAAATGGCCCTCAAAAACAAAAAAATACTCTGCAGAAAACACAAACTAAAATAACAGTGACACCGCAGAAACCTCGCCGTGGCCAGGGGTAGGAGGTGAGCAGACCTCCTGAGGTTGCTGGGAGCTGCGGGGGAGCCCTAAACCTCATGTTTCACTCGTGGGGCGTCAGGATGCTATGCATGCAAAACTGTCAGCAAAATGCATCAGAACTCACACACACCCTTTTTGTTTGACCGTGGATCCAACTCTTAGATATCTAACAAAAAGATATGTACAAGGTTATTTATCTGTTCTGGTACTCTCTGTAGTAGCAAAAAAATGGGAAACAAGATAATGTCTGTCAGAAGAACAGTGGCTGAATAAGCCATGGTGTACGGATGCCATGGAAGATTTACACGGTACAACCATCGAAATGGACATTAGATGTATGTGAGGTAGCCTGCAGGAATTTTCAGAATTTAGTGTTACAGAGAGAAGCAACATGAAGACATGAATATAAAGATGATCTCATTTTTATGAAACAAATTATAAATACTCATAAAATATATAGGCATATATACATATGTGTGATTCCAGAGTCTTGGAAAAACGCAGAAAGATAACCCATGGGCAGGTTCTAACTGAGACCTCAGGCAGGAAGGTCATGACACCTTGTAACTCAAGGGGTCCTTAAAATAGCATGCTTGAAGTTAGCTCACTGACACAGTTTTCTGTGTATCTATTCATAAAGAAATCTAAGAACATAAAGTTAATGTTAACAGTTACTTAAGAGTAGTGGCCTTCCAAGAGATGGGCTTACTTTTTCCTTTCTTAATGCAAATAAACTTCAACATACTGAACTGGATGTGCAAAGAAGCCCCACAAATAAGAAAAACACATTTGGTTGTAGGAAAGAAAACTCCAAGTGAAACTGGCATAAACAGAAAGGAACTGAGGGACTTACACATCAGTCCAAGTCCAGAACCAGATCTCACTCCAGGTCCGAGCAGGGCTCCAATCCAGATCCCCTCTGGCTTTCTGGGTTCTGCCTTGGCTGCCTCTTCCAGGTCAGAAAACAAGCTGTAGCCAGTTCAGAAAGCCACAGCCCGCAGCCCTCCATCTCCGACAGCTCCTCAAGAGGCCTCAACAAACAACGCCTGCCACCTCAGTGGTCCGACTTGTGGCAGGTGTGCTCCCTGCACGGGTTAATACTGGGGAGGGGTACCTGGGCCAATGTGGAAAGCTGAGGGTGGGGCAGTACCACCCAAATCACAAGCATGAGTACTGTACCTGTGGCAGGGAGGAGACCAGGGAGGGGCGGCAGGTGGGGATACTGGTGCAAGGAGGAGGTAGGTGCTGGATGGTTACCGCAGCAAATCAGAAACACTGCTGATTCTTAAACAGAAAACAATAAGCAGGCACTAAAACATGAAGATCTAAAGCGCCATCCCAGAGGCTGACTACCTTTTGCACCCTCTAACTCAGGCATGGAGAATGTCTTGCTCCTGGGCCAGGATAAGGCCTGTGAAATCCCTTGCTCTTACCCTGCCAAGGCAACACGGGCAGGACTCAAAGTTCAGCAAATCTATAGCAGGTTAATTAAGAGGATAATTTTGCATGGCCTGCGAATGATGTTCTAAATATTCAAATGGCCCTTGGCAGAAAAAAGGCTCCCTGCCCTGCTCTGATAGACATTCCTATTAATTAAAAAAAAATTCTGAATAATTCTATATTCCTTAGCCCCAAGTCTTAGCTATATCTATCCATTCTCTTATTATTTTAAATAATAACGCCCAGCTACATCCTGGGTGATGTCTACAGTTCACTATCCACAGCAGGGTGAGAGTCAGAACCAACAGAAGTTCTTTTGCAAAATGATGAAATGCTTCTACCTGTACAGTGAACTGGGGAACATAACGTAACAGATAACAAGCTTCCTAAGCACTACTGGCGAAATGGAGCCCAAGGAATAGAAGTACAATACTTGAATAATGAAAAGACTTCAGAATATCTGAACGACTATTATTCCAGTTCATTCAATATGCACATGGGGGCCGGTTGGAGTCCCGGCTGCTCCACTTCCGATCCAGCTTTCTGCTAATGTGCCTTGGGCAGTGGAAGATGGCCCAAGAAGCAATACAGGACCTTCTTTAACTTGATGGTGGTAAGTCCAAAAGCCAGTAGCCGGGAGCAATGGTTAAGATTACGGGATCAGGAGTAAAACTGCCCGACAGGAACCCAGCCGGATCACTGGTGACTTTTATGATCCTTGGGAAGTTGCCTAACATATCTGTGCTTTATTATCTTCCTCTTTGGTGGGCATTAACTGGAGTACCAATCTCTCGAAGTTGTTGCTAAGTTTTAATGAGATAATTCAACACCTGGAATGTCACCAAGCACCAAGAAGCTTTCAATAAATGTTAACTATTACCAATAAATTGAGTGTTTCTTTATGTTTTAGGCCTGTGTCAGTACTCCTTTAATTCAACATTCTATATTCTAATTGTTATCATTAGCACCACTGTAAAAGGTCTTTTAAGATTTCTTCAAATGATTCTGAAAAGAAGCTAATACAGGTATCTGATCTGAGATACTCTGTCTCATAACACCTCCACTAGGAAACAATGTTTGCCAAAAAAAAAGTAGTAAAATGGAAGTTACATGAAAGAATCTCAGTAACACTATATTCAAATGTTCCCCAGCTCATGACAGTAACAGGGAAATGTGTCATACTACCTGCACAACTACATCTAGGGAAAGCAGGCTGTATTTATTCAAAAGCTATAAAAGGTTACAGTGTAAACCTAGCAAACAAAATTAATTTTTCATATATTCAAGTGAATCACAGGTATCCACATTCCACCCAAATTAGGACAAAAATCCAATGCAGAGGGATTATTATATAGCTCAAGGACCAAAAAGCAATAAACAAAAAAGTCTTGTCAATACAGACTCCTATATAAACACACAAATTTAAAGTTTTAATGGAACATGAACAAATTGTAAGCACATGTGTTAGCTACTTTTCTTCAACATTATGGTAGTAAATGTTGTTTATTTAGTAAAAACATACAGAATGTATAAACCTTTAACCGCATGTAATGTTGAATAACAGGTGTAAACCAAGTTGAAGATTTCATATGTGGGGAGATGTATCTCAGAAAGAACCCAACTGGAAGTAAATCTATTTACACACACATTGCAAAGGTCACTCACAAAACATTTATCATTTGCGATTGTATATAGAGAACAAACTGCCCAGAAAGGAATACTGGACTCTTACGAGGGGTATTATAATGACAAATTACTTATTTAGGGGCTTAAAATAGCAAAGATCAAGTAAATTAAATAACATATGAGTGAAAAAATATACAATGTACAATTGCAAGAGGTTAGAAAACTGAATACTGTGGAAAAGATTTATTAGTCTGTACAAGTTGGTTTTTGATAAACTACTGATTGCTTGTGACAATAAATTACCAAGGTTTTCTTGCAACAGTGTTTTCCCACACACATCAGAATCTGGAAGTAAAATGCCTTTCTCAAATTGTCATTTAGTGTTTTTGTCCCTACCCCTCAAAACAGAGAAACAGGTTTTGAATATCAACTCCATTTATAGATGCCAGAAGACATGGATATTCACCAACATTACACGAGCTACAACAGAGGAACCTGGACAAACACTGTCAACATTTATGATGGGAAAAAAAAAAAAAAAGCTGGTTCTAAAAGCGGCAATTATGACAGGAGTTACAATAAACACACTATACGTGTCCTTCTGAAACCAAGATGCGGGAAACCTTACTGCGGTTCTGCAAAGTACCACGCTAACTCTAGATGCTGGGCACAGGACCGTGAGTCCAACAGACACACCACAAGATTAAAACCCCAGGTAAGCAACTGCGCTAATCACTGAAGGAAATCACAAAGTAATGCCAAACTTCTTTAGTGTATCAAGACTATTTTAGAAGCATCATCAAGACAAATAGATTAAAGACTAAATTGGCCTGGGCTACATTCTGTAGTGTGGGTTTTGCTTAGTGCTAGCAGAGACTCTCAAACACCCTAGAAAAGCTGTGAAATCATGCTCGCTGTCATTCCTGAAAGGAACTTTGGCAGGTCTGATGATGCCTGTGAACCTCCCTGGGGTTCTGGGGTTCTACATACCAAATGATCCAGTAATTTAAAGAAATATTTAAGCACAAAGAAGGAAACCAAAAGTGGACCTTGTATCAACACATACTAGAGATGGACTTTTAAAAATTACATGATAAATGTAAGTCATAAAATCAAATGCACTGATAAAGGTACACCTGTTTTATGTTACATAAAAAACTGAAGACTGCAAACTGTGCATGCTTACCATAGCATTCTACCTGGGAAAGCTGATGAGTGGGATGTCTTGCAATTATTTACTGCCATGATACAAAACAATTATGTGCAAACTGCAAGGTCCCCCAAATAGCAGTTAAAGAATATTTATGCAGAACGATGCCACTATCTGGTGAACTAGGCAAGAGATGGAACTTCCCAGAGTTCACAGCACAGAGCAGTAACCACTGCAGGCGCCTGCCCCGTGGCCTTCTTCCCTGTGCGACAGTTTCACTCCTTTGTTCTGGGTCTCGCTCTCCCACAGTCCGGGTGTCTGAATGATCTTTTCGACAAGCTCCTCAAAGGCACACTGGACACCATCACACGTTTTTGCACTTGCCTCTGAAATTCAAGGAGAAGAGTCACAGTTCATCCCTTCTGGCCCTAGTCCCATGTTTTTCTGGGAAATATTACAGCATGAATATCACTCTACAATATAGGAAAAGCCACACCCACAATTTCTCTGTACAAGTTTAACACTAGTGAATTTTCCCCAACTCTAAAAATTGAGCTAAATTCTATCCATAAAAATACTGGTTATGTAATATGCCCATGATTTTGTGATAGAATTGGAACTTCCAAACCCTACTGAAACCTACGGAGGTTTTCTGCCCAGCAGTTCATTTAATTCTTAAAACCAGGTCCCAAAGCAGCTTAGTGCTACTTCAAAGTAAGGAGATTCATGTTAATAATTAACCTGATTATTCTGTGCCCAAGAAGCCCCAGGTGGCTAGATGAAATGACAGACAACTAGGAACACTGGTCCCACTTTAATTCTATGCTCCTGAAACTCAACTGGATCCTCAGCACTGCCTCCCAGCCCTCCGGATCCCCCACTGTGAGAAGGTCATCTTGGTCTTTCTTCTCAAAACTCTCCTGTCTCAGCAGCTCATCCACCTTTATGTAGGGAAACATAGAAGCAACCTAGCCAGATCTGCCTGATCGCTCCACTAGGAGGCGATCTACTGACCCGCTTGTACCCGCCTTGCTCCTGTTACCTGCACAAACTGCCCCTGCTGCTATCTAAAGCCATTCCCTCCTCTACTGCCTGGAATTCCTCCCCTTCTCCTCCACTGACGGATCACAGCCTCTCTCTATTGGGTCACACCAATCAGCCGAAACTTCCGCCACATTTTTTTCCAACTTATTAAAAAACAAGCTTGTCTTCTAGCTCGCACATCCTTCTTGCAACCACCTAGTTTCTCCACTCTCTGCAAACTAATACGTTACCTATGTAACTTGTTCCCACTTTGTTACCTCACTTTCATTTTTCTAACTCTTCTAATCAGGCCTTTGTTTTCACCACTTCACTGAAACCATTCTTTTCAAGACCACAAACTGGACATCCTTTATTTTTTCAAATCCAAAGTCCTGATCATTCCTGACATCTTTTGGCGTTTGATCCTAATAATCACTCGCTCTTTCTCTGAATACTTTGTTCACTGGACTTCCTGCACACTCAACATCCTGTGAATCCTATGAATGACTGGCATGTCATCTTAGCCTCATTCTGGCACTTCCTCTTTCTGCTGACCTCTAAAACTTGGAGGACCGCAGGGGCTCAATCTTCAGCCCTTTGCTATCCACATTCTTTCCTGAAGTGATCACTCCAACTCATGACTGTAAATGCCACACTCCTTATATCTAAGCAAAGCTCTTGATTCCTCACTCCCTCACCCCAAACCTGCCCGCATCTCAGTCTTCCACATCCCAAGTAAGGGAGGGTCAATCCACCTAGTTGCTCATGCTAAAAACCTGGAGTTGTCTGACAGCCCTCTTTCCCTAACATCTACACCCAATCTAGCACATGGCCTGTCAGCTTCACCACCAGCTTCTTACAGAACTCCCAACTTGGCACCAATCACTACTGTTCCATAAAGCCGTCAGCTTCATTGATATGCGACACCACAGAGAACTAGCCTCCCTTGCTCCCACATCTGATGGTCCATGTTCCACACATCGTATCCCACTCTCCAGCTTTCCTCCACAGCTGGGATAAAATCCATCTCTTTACCACTTCCTGTGAGGTCCAGCGTCTCCCGGCACCTGACACACGCTGTGCTCCAGGCCAGTGTGCTTCCTGCTGGGGAACACACTCAGCAGGCGCCCGCCTCAGTCATGTCTAGCCTCCTCTCAGGGGGCATGACTCCTCCAGGTCCTCACACTGCCTGAGAGCATGCTTCCTCATCCGTCTCCAACCTCTTCACGCTGGCTCCCCTTCAGTGTTCCACTCCCTTCACAGCACTACCTCCTGTGCCCCTACTCAAGTTCCTGGGGGCGCTGAGCTTGTCCTCAGTACTCAATAAATACTAAACAAATTAAAGTCAGAACCAGGGGACACACAGCATGTAGGCAGTAAAAGCATTTTAATAAAGGTTTGTCTCTCACACCTGTGACAAGGCACAGAGACTTTCACTTCCAAAGCTCCCCGGGTGACTGTGATAACAGCAAGCCCACTCTTCTAGATGAGGGCTTGTCAAACTTTCGCTGTAAAGGATCAGACAGTAAATAGTTTCTGCTTGGTGGGCCACATGGTCTCTGTTCTAATGACTGAACTCTGTCATGCAGTACAAAGCAGCCCAAGGCAGTATGTAAACCTGGACACGGCTGTGTTTCGACACAAACGTAGGGCCAGCCTTGGTCCGTGTCGTCCTTGGCCAATCCCTGCGCTACCATGTTCCTCAAAGAGTGGTGTGCACAGGGATCATCTCATTAAAATGCAGAGCTGGATTCACACAGCTGAGAGCGGGGCCCGAGACAAAGCACTTCAAACCAGCTCCCACGTGGGACGGATGCTGCCGGCACATGGCCCAGGGAGGCCTAATTTCAGCTCTGGTGCCAAGTGAATGCCATTATGTATTGAGAGGACTGTGTTCCAAAGGATTTCACACAATGTAGTCCTATTTTATTGTCAAGAAAAAAAAAATAAAAAGCTTTGTTCTGTAGTTAGATTCTATAGCAGGAGGTAACTATGAATTAAATAAATACAGTTCATAAAAAAAGAAATTTAGCAAACACTCCTTTTTAAAATTTCTCGTTAAAATTAAAGGATGGATATTGATTCACACACCCACCTATAAATAACATGGAATGCTTCCGTGCAAACTTCAGGCCTTCATTTCTGTCGACTTCACGATTTTCCTAAAAGACAAATGCAATGATTAAGAAAAGTTACCAAAATATAGAACCAAAATGCCAAGTGTCTGCCTTCTTACCTTATCAATTTTATTTCCAACTAGCATGTTTACTATGTCATTTCTCGTACAGTATGTTTCCAATTCATTTAACCAATTATCCAGTTTAACAAAGGTGTCCCTTCTCGTGACATCATAAACTGAAATAAAAGGAGTCATTTATTAAATAAGCCTGAAAAATGAGAAGCCATGACATTATACTTCTGATACGTAAATACAAGCTAACATTACTATATAGCCAAGTTTGGTTTTGGTTAGATCTTCAATGCTTAATCATGTGCGCCCACTGATCCAGATGGAAGGAACAAGTGTTTAAAAAAAGATGGGGCCAGCGCTGTGGCAGCAGGTTAAGACGCCATCTGCAGCGCCAGCATTCCATATGGGTGCCAGTTCGAGTCCCGGCTGCTCCACTTCCCAGCCAGCTCCTGTTAATGTGCCTGGGAAAGCAGGAGAGGATGGACCAAGTGCTTGCACCCTGGCACCCATGTGGGAGACCCAGATAAAGCTCCTGGCTCCTGGCTTTGGTCTGGTCCAGCCCTGGTCATTGCGGTCATTTGGGGAGTAAACCAGCAGATCTTTGTCTTTTCCCTCTCTTGCTGTAACTCTTTCAAGTAAGTAAATAAATCTTAAGAAAAAAAAAAAAAGAACACACAGACACATGTCAATCTTACTAACACACACTGTGACAGAAATGAAATTATATCCTATGTGGTATCTGAAAATCAATTAAAGTGAAAAAACAGCTGTTCCCACCCATAATGATAAAGGAGTTCTGTCCAAAAGCCTAAGTGTTTAGATTTAAATCTCTGGAAAATATAACAATTACATATATGAACTGAAACATCTATGACCCTGTTAATTTATTTCTTACAAGGATCAGAATTTGAAACTTTGAAAGACTCACAGTACAGTGAATAGGTGAATAGGATCCTGACTGTCATCCTCTATTGTCATTTCCTTTTGCATTATAATTAAGAAGTTACTAATTTAAAATTTTTCCAAATTTAGGAGATGCTGAACCAAAATGGTATTGCTATTAAACTACATATTTCTCTCCACAATTGATCAGTATTCATTTTATTTTTTAAAAAAGATTTTATTTATTTGAAAGGCAGAGTTACAGAGAGAGGGAGGCAGAGATGGAGAGAGAGATCTTCAGTCTATCGGTTCACTCCCAAAATGGCTACAACAGCTGGGGCTGGGCCAGGCCAAAGCCAGGGACCAGAAGCTTCAGCTGGGTCTCCCACATGGGTGTTGGAGACCAAATACTTGGGCCATCTTCCTCTTCCATTTTCCCAGGCACATCAGCAGGGAGCTGGATTGGAAATGGAGCATTCAGGACTTGAACCAGTGTCCATATGGGATGCCAGCATTGCAGGCAGCAGCTTAATCTGGTTATGCCATAATGCTGGCCTCAACTACTCATTTTAACTAGCTTCCCAGGAATATTAAGAATAAGCACTTTTCAACAAATTACACTCAATTCACATTTGGGTTTTCCAACTCAGTTTATGAACAGTGTTAAATGCTTTGTACTATTCTTTCTTTTTTAAGATTTATTTATTTGAAAGGCAGAGATAGAGAGAGGCAAAAGCAGAGAGAGAGAGAGAAAGAGAGAGAGAGAGAGAGGTCTTCCATCCACTGGTTCACTCCCTAGATGGCTCCAATGGCCAGAGCTGAGCCGATCCAAAGCCAGGAGCCTCCAGGTCTTCCATGTGGGTGCAGGGGCCCAAGGGCTTGGGCCATCTTCTACTGCTTTCCCAGGCCATAGCAGAGAGCTGGACCGGAGGAGGAGCAGCTGGGACTTGAGCCACAGCTTCGCTCCTGTACTACTCTGTTAGAACTGATAAAACAGATTCTATTAAGCAACAAATTCTCTCCTTCTTTACAAACTGGAGTGGGGATTCATGCACTGAAGGGTGGAGACCAGTTTCAGGTAATGCTCCAAAACAGACCAACACGTGCACTGAGCTGCAGTAACGCCCTTATCAACATGTGCCTTTAACCCAACTATGCTAATCTTGTCTTTATTTTTCAATCGCTAGATGAAAGCTGTAAAAGTTTTAATATTTATTAATATTAAGGGAAGCTCATATAATTTCAAGTTACATAAAAGTAGCCCTAAAGAATAATAAAACAAAAACTTACTGACCTTCACAGAGTAAGAAAAATCAGAAATTCCAACAAGCAAAATTTAAAATAGTAAATTAAGGTAAGAACTTACCTAAAATAACACCCTGTGCACCTCTGTAATAACTTGGAGTTAGAGTTCTAAACCTCTCTTGACCAGCAGTATCCTAAAAGTAAGAATCAATTATTAGTAAATAAAACAAAGTATAAGTAACAGACCCTCAATACATCCATTTAAGAGTACAGAGTCAAGCATTATTTAAAATAGTTTCAATGCCCAAGCTCAGTAATAACTGGAATTTAAAGAACATGTATCTTCTTATTAACAAGTGTTACTTAAAATAAAATTATTAAGTACTGATTCACCTCTAGAAATATGCAACGAAGTAAGTTTTCTGTCCTTTTGGATTTCAGATCTTTATTAAACATGAAACCCATTTCACTGAAGCCACAGTTCTCAACTCTGGCTGTGATGTGGGGCCCAGAATAGGCAGGGAGTTATGGGAAAATGAGCTGGAAGACTTTTCTACAACTTCGGTCTTCAGCGCCGTGCCTTAACACCATGCCTTTACATGCCAATCCCATCTGTCCACCTTCCAAGATGAGCCTGAGTCTCCCACACCCAGAAGGAGGTGACGCCCTGAGCACAGGTACTTAGAGCCACACGTGCTCACTCTCTAGCTCATTTGCATATTGTCTGTACAATGCCCCACAGCGCGGGTGGCTGGGCTTGGGAGCGCTCTCCTAGTAGGCAGCTCTGGCCTGCTCGAGGCAAGTCTCTTTCCTGGAGGGTCTGCCAGCACTCACACCTGAATGTGTACTCACCTCCTGCTCTCACTGTCATTTATGTACTTTACTTCGGCCTCCACTTTAAATTCTTATCTCATGCAGGAGCAAGAACTTGGAACAAAAACTGAGATACACATTCAGCAGCACAATGAAATTTTCTGGGAATCCTTGGGTCCAGCCTCCAAAGATTCTGAGTTAACGGATCTACAGTAACGACGAGAATTTTAAAAACCTTCCCAGGTGATTCTAATGCGGATTCAAGTTGAGAACCAGGGACTTAAAGAGCATTAGAAAAGCATCTTACTTATGTGAGGGATTTTAGGTTGGGCTCTTTTACATGTTTTCTATCTGAGGAAAACAACTTTCAGTATAACCGTCTCTGGAGACAGCAGACACAGCATGCCACTGCTACCTTCTCACCACCAGGAAACTATGCCCCAACTCCCACGTTTAAATGAAGATGTAACACACTGAGAATTATACTTTTTTAAACAGATAGACTTATAAGATAAAACAATGAGTATTCTGTTTCTAGGTTTCCTTCTTCTTCTTCTTCTTTTTTTTTTTTAAAGGCAGAGTGGACAGTGAGAGAGAGAGACAGAGAGAAAGGTCTTCCTTTGCCGTTGGTTCACCTCCCAATGGCCGCTGCAGCCGGCACACTGCACTGATCCGAAGGCAGGAGCCAGGTGCTTCTCCTGGTCTCCCACGGGGTGCAGGGCCCAAGCACTTGGGCCATCCTCCACTGCACTCCCGGGCCACAGCAGAGAGCTGGACTGGAAGAGGGGCAACCGGGACAGAATCTGGAACCCCAACCGGGACTAGAACCTGGTGTGCCGGCGCCGCAAGCGAGAAGATTAAGCTATTGGAGCCGCGGCCCCGGCCTGTAGCTAGAAGTCTTACAAAATACGTATAGGCATATTCAGAAAACGAATTTGATTTTTCCTCTTTCAAAGAAGTACAGGCAGGTAAAGTGAAATCTACAAGCATTTAACTTCCATGTATCCTCATTTAACTCTTAAGCTACTGAACTTCAGTGATACTTCATTTATTTTCACATTCAGAACTCTAAAGAATTAGAGATGTAAATTTGGGCTTTTGATGCAGAACCCTTTGCACTTTCTGCTTTTAGCTGATAGTTCGATCTGAAGTGTGTTTCCTGATATACTTACCAAAAATTCTCGTCTCTTCCAGCTGTCGACTGTAAGCTGAAAACAATTTCAGTGAGTGGCAAATAAGACTAAACTTGCAATATG